AAAGATCAGGACAGAAGATTTTCAAATGTTAGGAAAACTGCTTGAGCTATGCTGTGATTGCTGATTGTTGACATTTCCCAATGTTGTTAGGTAAATTGTGATTGATAATTGTCTTTAGCAAAGTTATGCTTTTCTCTCCAAGCAGACTGAAAGACTGGGTCTGTCTACCCATATGATGACTTGTCAGGGGATGGGTCCTAGATATGGAGAATATTCATCGGTGGAAGTGATATACATATCCAATGAGCAAAGAAGCGAGAAATAATCAAACGTTTTCCAAAGTGAAGATTCTAGGAGAGAGTATGAACCTGGGGACAGCAAGAAGTCTACCCAAAGTTTAGTTAAGTGCATGGAAACATGGACTCTACCTTAGTGACTACTGTTTGGTTATTACTCCAGTTAGGATCGCATTTTCTTCTGTCTTCTGTCTGTGCCGCATCACTATGCTGTGAATCTTGCAAAATCCATTAAAAAATATCAGCACTATCTCCTATTACTCAGATACTTAGTGTTTCCCAAGCTCTCTTTTGCTAGTTATATTCAATCCCGTAACTCCTGTTTCCCTGAGACCACGGCCCATATAAATGTTTTAAATAGAATCTTTTTAAAATAAGTTTCATAAAACTTTGGAAAATATTGATTGCAAAACACTATCTTGGTTGTAATAAATAAGCGAAATGTTTTTGTATCATTAATCATTTCTGTTCTCTGCTAAGTACAGTTTAGCTGGTAATTAAACCAGCATGTCAGAAAGCTTAATTGCCACCTCATCCAATTTTCAGTCATATTGATAATAGCTGTGAAGAAAACACAGTTTAGTAAAGAGACTTTGATAACAAATCCCAACAGCTGTAACTCGTTTCTTGAAACACATGCTGCTTTAAAGGTGAAGCAATATATGCTGGGGTGGGGGAAACAAATCGAAACAACTTCTCATATCAGAACGGAAATTTTATATCAAATGACTTCTTTTTATCTCATTTGGAGCCATAAATATTTCCCCTTAATCAGAATTACCAAACATTTGTATTTCTTTTCCTTTGATAGTCATTGTTTAGCTAAAGTGTGTTCTATAACTGAATGGATTTCTTAGTTCTTGAACTTGGAGATTATCTTCTCTTTGAAGAAATGCAAAGTACCCTTTCCTGAATGTCAAGTAAGTGCCTCTGTATCCCGGAGATGCGTTAGGAGACATCTGAGCCTGTTAACTCTGAAGTCTACCTGTGGATTCCTACTCTCACTTGCTTCATTTATACAACAGTTTCCCAATGTATAAAATGAATAGCAATACTTTGTTGAAGTGTGTCGCAAGGCTAGTGCTCATGACTACTCTAAGCCCAGCACTTCAGAAGAACTCACTACCTCACTAATGCGTAATCATTATAAATATTTTCCTTCTGTGTTAGTTTTATACTTTAGAAAATTCCTGGATTTTATATTTGGCATTAACTGCTAGCTTTTTTAGCCCTGATCCGCAATTCTTAAAAAAAATCTTAAGACTAACTCATTTCTCTGTTCAGAAAAGAATTCATCACTTTAACATAAATAAACCAACAGAAAGGCTCCAAGACATGCCAAAACATAAAACTAGCACTTTTCCATGAATGCTACACATTTATTTTTCTTTTGAAGAATTGTTAATATATATATTAACAATTGTCCTCTAAGAATATCTCAGGCCCAATATTGGTACTGAGTGTGGCAAGAATGTTTATTTTGAATCCTCAGAACTTCCCTTTTGCTTTCATAGTACCAAATTCAGCTGCCATTTTGTTCATATAGGAAGGATTTGAAATGTAGACAGAAGATTTTATTACTAGATTCCCCACAACTAATGAATACTTTCAACAAATGTTTCCAAGTAAGGCTGTGACCTAGACAACAGCACCCCCCCCCAAAGAAAAAGAAAAGATGGACGCAAATATTTCTGCAGGAAGAATCTACTAATATTTAAAAGTGCTCACATGTGCATTCATACCCTCAAACACAAACAAATGCGATTTTACTCATGTTCTCAAAGAGAATTATGCAGATAAAATAAATGCTACAAAATTGATATTAAACCAAACAATATTATTCCTTTACAAAAGAAATAAATTGGAAAATTATCCACAGAAAATAGAACTGGTTCTTTTGCTTCACATTTCAGCAAGATATTCTTACATGAAAATTGACTATAAACCGCATAGCAGCAGCTTAGTGAACAAGTATGCTTTCATGTCTGATTTATTCATGGATTCTATTCTTGGCATGTGATACTTGGTATGTGATACTTTCCACTGAGCCTATAACAAAGGTTCCTTCTTACCACAATTTACAAAAATCCAGGCCTGCCTAATTTCTGTTAAACTTTTGAATCCCATGAATCGGTTACCATTATATTTAAGGGGCTTATGTTTTCAACCCAGATACTTTCTCCTGAACATTTACGCTTCCAGGTTAATGAATGAATGGATGAACATAACTTACAGGTTTTTCTTTCAAGCTCTGAACTATAGTAATTTTCGGTTATCTTTGAAATATACTTTCAGAGGAATTACAGGCCTATTGTGTGTACAAAAGCCAGAGTGTAACTTAATATTTTGTTTATTTAGACCGAAATAAGAAGACCATGTAAAAGTCAATGTGAACTATCTTCAATAGGTTCTTAAAAAATCAGAAGTAGATGTTTTTGACAAGAAAGCTTTCTGTAAACTAACCAAATAATCAATGAAGATTCCACTGTAGAACTGTTTTGAGCTTTATGCTGATGTATTTGTGTAGCCTCTGCAATCACAAGACACATTAACACCTCATTCAAGAAAACAATGACTTTGGAAATGCAATGTTATATTTTCATTTACCGTTCAGAGAAGAAAACTAAAGTTCATAGGAATAGTAACTAGCAGTAGTATGAACTCTGTGTCTTAAATTCTAATAACTTACAGCATCAGTAAGTAGTAGTTACTTACTACAGTAGAGTAGTAGTACCTACCATACATATAAAATAATAGAGCATAAAAAGATTGCCTGAAAATAAACCTCAGTTTGCAGTGAACATCTGTATTTCTCTAAGAGCCTGGCAATGACCTTGAGAGGACAGAAGTCATATTTCCCAGGGAGTTCAAACACTAAGTTGTCACCGGTTAAATAACTGAACAGCAGATCTAATTTAATTTGAATAGCAGTTACTTAGATTTAGAAAAAGCAAATCAAAGTCTTTTGGCTAGATATATAAGAACTACTTTCTGATCCTCAGAGTACTTTCACCAGTAAAAATCACATGGCATAGGAGAGAAGGAAAAGTCCACACTGCTGCAGCTTTCATCAGTACATCCTATGTGCACATGGACATGAAGCTCATCTACACACACTGGTTACATGGTCTTTGAAGCTAATTAATTGACAGAAATAGGTTCTGTGAATATACCAAGAAAAATAAAAGAGGTCATTTTTAATATCCCTGCTTTAATCATTCACTCTAATTATAATTATTATGAAGCATGATCTGATGTGCACAAGACTTTTAGTCACCATTCCTTGATACAAACTAATACTTTTGTTAGTATTGAGGTATATATATATATGTGTGTGAGTGTGTGTATGTATATATATGTATGCATGTATATATACATATATATGCACACATATATGGGCATGAATGCATGGCCCCCTTTAATGCAATTGTATATACGTATGCCATCTTTGTCAGTTTATAAAATATTTTCCACATACATATTGTTAATATTATTAACATATTGTTAATCTTCAGAGCAAAGTTCATGGATTTTTATGATGTAAGCATGTGGGAAAGCTTAGAATGACCCATGATTCTAAGTCACTTCTAAGAAACTTGAGTACAATTAGAGCCCTCTCATCTGGTAAAGAACATGACACATCCTGTATCTTTTGTCTTTTTTTTTTCAACGACATCTATTATTTGGATGGCTGAAAAGGAAGAATGCATAGACACATATTATTTATAGAAATCATTACTGTGATGATATTCAACAATGTGTAGAATAGGTTACTTCTAATAATTATGTAACACATTTTTTCGAAGATTATTGTGTTGAGACAAAGTCTAGAGTTCAATGGCTAGTTTCCTCTTATCACACATTATGAAAAAATAATATGAAATGAATGTCCCAGACTTTTACTTTCTAAGTTGTTTTTATTGTCATGAAAAATGAGTAAGATAAAAATGAAGCCTATTTAAAACTTTAATCAAACAATGCAAAAATAATCAAAATAACAGTAAGCACAATTAATGAAAATATCATAGGTCTTAAGAGAGTTGTAAACACACAGGGGAATGCTGCAGAGAGAGGAACAGGATGTTTTCCTATCTGTCCAGTGCTGCTTGAAATATTCATAGGAGATGAAAACAACCAGGAGAGAAATAATTACTTCTATGTATGAGCTTCTGCAAACAGAATGCATCAATCTTGGTAATCAGAGGGAATTCTGTTAGTATCTAGTGTAGCCTCTCTTGTTGAGCACTTATTATTTGCAAACTACTGTGTTAGCTCTTTTATTTCCTGCATCAAACCTTAAAAGTTTAGGAAACACTTATCATGTGGAGATAAGAGAAAATAGGCACATGACAGGTCAATCATTTCTTCCTTGCAAAGCACTCCTACTAAATAATGAATCCTGACTGTGGTTCTAGGCAGTTTGTCATCAGTATTTTTCACCCAGAGATACTATCCTTCTTAGAGTCTCATATAAAATGAAATATTTAGGAAGATCAGTATACTAATGTAAATATTCATTTATATATTCTTACCATCTTAAGACCCTAATTTTTGCCAATTTAATTTTTAAATAAATTGCTTACTTATGAATATATACAAATGTAAGCACTTAATTCAATTATTGAATAAATTCCCTGAAAATATCCGCCATATTGTACATGCTTTAAACAGCTTATTCTTTTTAAGAGTTCCCTGTCTTTTCATGGTTTTTCCAAATGACTCATTAGCAACCCAAGGTAGCAGTCATCTGCTTTCTCCCTCTAGAAGCTCAGAAGAAGCAATTGGAAGAGAGTATAGAGCTGATCCAAGACGAGTGTGTGTCAGAGAATGCAGACCACTCCACAGAGGAGCCTGCTGAAGGAGGGCAAGAAGCGGATGGAGGAGAAATGACTGATGGGGTAGAGGAGGACTTCGATGAAGATGGGGGTCACGAGCTGGTAGGAATGCAATGTTTGGTGTCCACATCTGTTGTGTGACAGAAATAGAATTTGACCAGACCATCCATTCTAAAACAAAGAGTAAATCATTTGGGGCTACTTTATTTTTTATGAATATATTCAAAGGAACCTCAGCATAGTGCTTTGCACATAACAAGTGCTCAATATATTTTTTACTAATTTAAATTATGAAGGTGAAAATGAATATAAAATATAAGTTCTATATATAATTCTAGGTATACATAAAGTCCCAAATGAAAGACTTTCTTCCCCACATTCTTTATCATGAAAGAAAATATCCATTTGTTCAATTAAGTGTTTAAATGGACATAATATGCTTGTTATAAAAGTCATGTATTCCAAGACAAGTGGAACCTTTTTTAAAAGTTTTTTAGTTATTTATTTTTTATTTAGCTATTTACTATGTCTATGCATGTGCACATGCTTTAAACCATGAGTCCAGATCAGATAACAAACTTGCTGTAGTCAGTTCTTGCTTTCTGCCATGTGGACTCTAGAAAAGACTCGGCGTGTCAGTATTTAAAGAAAGCACACTTACCTACTGAGACATCTCATTGGCCCAGCTCCCTTTAGTTCAATAGATCTACTCACTGGCAATAATGACGCATACTATCTTTGAAGCCAGTAATCCTCTCCACAAATGGCATGCTATAGTAACCCATCAGTATACTTTCACCTCATCATTTCCAAAATCAGTGCCTCTTGATAACAGATTGCTATTGTTTAGGAATATAGGTCAGACTTGATTCTTAAATGTTTTCTTTTCTCAGTGTTGAAATTAGTATACTGTTCACTTCCAGATACACTTTCCTTGACAACTACATCAGACAGACACTTAGTAAAAACATGTTGATATCTCATTAACCATGAGATTAAATATTATATCTCAAAGAACTTGATTAATAAAAGTAGAAAAGTGTGCATATGTGTGTTAGAGTGCTTTGTATACATGATTAACTCTCAATTGTATCTATAGGTAATATTATGTATACATATATTTACTAAATATATAAATAACAGGTTCTTCCAGGATATATTGTATTCCCATTTATTTTAAAACCTACTGTTGCTTAAGTAATATTGTTTTGGTTATTATCCTTTTTGTTTGATATGGCAGTAAAATTATCAAAAACTTTAATGAGATTGTAGTATATCAGAATTCTATGTTGATTTTAAGACCAAGCTTCATTTAAATACCATGGCACATTCATTTAAACTTTTTTATAAGCTTTCAACAATTACAATGTTTCCTTCAAATTTCACTTCAGATTGAAGTTCTCAAAATGTGAGGTCTGTCCACTGCTTTAGAATTACAATGGATGGTATTGATCAAAGACAAGAAGGAAGGACAATGGCTTCTCAGTGATTTGTAAATGAAACCTAATTTCCCCTCCTTGCTCTCCTCTGACATCTCTTTTAATATCCTTTTGAAGAGTTTGCCAGGGAGACTTGAAATTACCATTCCTTTGTTTCTCAGCAGGATTATGCACAACTAACTACTTCCTTCTCTGAGATTCCCTTTGTTTACCAAGTCTTCACTTTCAGTTTCTTTTGTTAGGCATACCACCTACTTTAAGTATCCCAGTAGGTTATGACTTTTCTATTACTTTTCTAAATTGAACTCACAGAGCATGCGAGCTGTAAGCATTCTCTGAAGATTAAGGATCTCTAAATCCCCATCTGTATTTGTAATTGTTTCATTTGACTGACAGCAAATTGTTAGCCTCTAAACAACTGAAACAGCATGACCAGAGTACTCTTGAGTGTTTTCCCTTTCTCTTTTGATACTTCTTTATTCTGTAAACACTTTCACCTATATTTACAGTTGCGACAGTGACAAGGATGAGTTCATTTTCTCCTCTTCCATTACTTATTAATTCTGCCTTCAAATTATATCCCAAACTGAGTTCCACATCCACTACAAATATGTTTGACCCAATCCAATTTTCTCTCCATTTTTTTAATTAGGCTGGTTTTCTTTTCTCATATAATAGATTTCAGTCTCCTTCTCTGTTCAATCAGTCTATACAGAGAAAAATTATATTCATTTTCTACTTTTCATATAACATCATGTTATTATTTAAAACTTTGTAATGCTTTCACTACATTTAGAACCTAAATACTTAAATCAGTTAATGAAATGTATAAGACTGGTAGGAAAGATATAAGAAGAGGGAAATTCAAAAAAAGAAAATGAGAAAGTCTTGAAAGCAGAAAGCAAGGTAACCATCCTAGTCATCTGAACTTGCCTCAAATAATATTCTTCCACTACAACTGACCTTCGCGTATCTGAGAACTGGTTTCAGTGTCAGGGGCACAGAACTTAGGCATGTAAAAAGTATAAATTATGTCACAGATTTGCAGAGCTGGAAGGTTTTGAAAAAGCTAGCGGAAAAGGAAAAGCATGAAAGATCCTTAATTTGAAAATGCATAAAGACTTACAGTATTTAGAGTGAGCTGATGTCACTCTAATCATCACCAACCAATATAGAGTAGTAGTTTGTAAATACACTGGAGAACCTGCTAAAGCAAACTTCCATGTCCCATTCAGAAAGTTTCTGGTTATATAGTCTACAGAGAGTCCAGCAACTGACAAATAAGGGGAAATGAGAACAACTGTTAAAAGAGTTACTGACTAGAAGGACTGTGCATTTGAACTTGACAAAGAAGGAAAGAAATACAGGAAAAAGCTGAAGTGGTAAAACTATGAAACTAATCTGACTTCTACCAAACAAGCCAAAGTCAAGATTGGCTACTATTCACATGTCAAGACTGGTCACTATCCACAGATGAAGCAAATAAATGAAAAGCCATGAATTATTACAAACAAAATGTCCATGTAAGAAAGACAGAAGCTATAAACACTCAGCCCATCCTGGAAACAAGGAATTTTTGGCTTGCATTGAGGGAGAACTGTAGGAGGGAAGATTATGTGATTTAGTAACCCTTATCAGTCTGTGTGCTGTTGATTATAGCTTCTTCTGTTCTAGCTTCACAAGCGAGTTCTAGAGACACCCTGTCGCATGAAGACAAAGGCTAGTTCTCCTGAAGTATTTGCTCCTATGTAAGAGAGAGATCTTGTTCACAAGGGCATCTGTCTGAGGGAGTTTTCATTTCCTAGAACTCAAAGGCTTAAAACAAGGACTATAGACTTTTAGTAGAATTTTTCTGGCGAATTCAAGAAAGGCATTGTAGAAGTGACAGTAAGATGCCTTTTTACTCTTGTCATTTTAGTTTAATACCCCAAAGAATAGATACATTAGTTATCACCAGTTTTGAAACAGATCCTCTTGAAACTTTGAACATACCAATATGCAGAATTGACCAGAACTGTGACTCCCACTTAAAGGAAACATACAAAATGAAGACAGAGATGAAAGGCCTCCATTCTGTTTTAACTACCATAGAGACAAATGAAATGTTATAGCTTTTACAGAAAAGCAACTTTTCGCAACCTTGCAAGGGGAAAGAACAATTCCGATATGTTTAAGAAATCAGAAAAATGGCCCCAAGACAAGTAGCAGAATGTGGAGTTTCCCATTAAAGACTGAGGTCATGGGTATGGGTGGCACGTGATGACATGATTCATGGGAGGGTATAGTGAAATCATCAGGATCAAAGTCACCACAGATGAAAAACTGAAGAACTAAGATCAAGATAAAGATTGGATCATCTAAACCATTATGTGATCACTCCAACTATTCACAGAACTAAAGAAAGTAGTTCTTGGGTTGAAAATAAAAAATTGCACGTCTGTTTTTAGTCCCAGATCTGTCACCTTCCAGTCAAATTGAATCACTTTAAAGAAATAACTTTGTTGAAAGTAAAACTTGTTGTGTATAACATAGCAATATTAATTCACAAATTTCTTCATATATTTGTGTGTTTGTACATATGTATGTGCATATTTGTGTGTGCTGTTATATGCATGAGCCTATGTGAGAGGAAATGTGCCCATGGATGGTGAGAGGGGTAGAGATCAATATTAAATGCCTTCTTTGATTTCTCTCCACCATGTATAATGAATGACACAAAATATATCGCTGAACCTGGTGTTCACCAACTGGCTAGACTCTCTGACCAGGGGACTGTAGTGTTCTATCTGTCTCTATCTCTACTCTCGGGTTCGAGTTACGTTTTTTTCCATCCCTGATTTTCTCACAAGAGTACTGGGGATCCCAACTCAGGTCCTCATGTTTGTTTGGCAGGAATTTTACAGGACAAGTTATTTCCTCAAGTCCAACTTTGAAATCTATTTGGTTTGACTATACTTCTGAGTGACCACATTGCCGAGAAGACACGTATCTGATGGGGCAGAGCCTGATCACGCAGTCATGTGAATAAGATCAAACCCTGGTGATCTTATCATATCCACTCACACGGAATCAGAGTGATTTGAGATATTGTGACTAAATGTGCTAAGATTTTTGCTCTAAGTCTTTGTTTTATAATCAGAAGCTTGGGGAGTTAAATAATTAAATCTTCTTGTTTATGTCAATTCATTTTTTTTTCTGGGATTTTAAATGTAATGAATGTGGATGATTTTACTGTTGAAATAGTACTACAGAAATAGAAACCATGGAGTTTAGAAAGTAAGAGAAGGCATTATAGATGTGCGGACAGATGACACAATGCCACAATGGAGCAGGTGACAGAAGTCAGATACAATCTCCTTCCCAAACGCTCAGTTGGTAACTCAAGCAGAAGCACAATTTCATTCCAATATAGTGAACACGGCCGTAGGGATCCAATCTAAGACACTTAAGGTTCAAGACAATGAACAAGTGGGATAGGTAACAGGTCATGTGTGAAACCAGAGGAAGCTGAGGACATGTATACTGACTGCCAAGCAACATCTGCTGAATATCTACTGAATGAAATCAATTTCCATGTGTCAATCTAATCATATAGCATTAGAACCCTACTGTGCATGAACACAGTACTGTCAAAAAGTGAAAAAAACTAAATGCATTGATTAC